ATTTATTGATGGCATAATGAATCATTCTCTTTATTTAAATATTCTATTCTAGACAATTTAAAATTCTCACCCAAAATTTGGGTATTGGAAACAACTTTATTTTTAATCATGATAACGATCCTAAGCATATGGTTCTCAAAATTCGCCTGTGGTGTCTCTATAATTGTCCACAGGTTTTGAAAACACCACCTCAGCCGCCAGATTTAAATCCCATACAACACATTTACAAAGACCTGAAGTATGAAAACACGACATGAAAACGAAAAGCGAACTCAAAACAGTCACGATGGAAGAATGGATGAACATTGATACAGAAATTACAAAAAAACTATTAAAATCTGTTCCCAGACATTTAAAAGCTGTTGTGAATGCTAAAGGATATTGTACTAAATATTAATTTAACGAAAAATGAAAATATTTACTAATATGTCAAGATTTTTTTGAAGTGTACGAAGTCTTTTGTGAGATAAAATGTTTGTCATTTTTTGATTATTGATTTCTTAAAAATAAAGTTTCGCTATATTTTAATATAGCGAAACTTTAAAAATATTTCATGTAATTTTGTTACGAATAGATTATAAATCTTATTATTAAAATCTCATTCAGAAAGTTTACTTTTAATTAATGGATAGAGCCCTATTTCAATGAAAATCATAAGTGTACGAACACTTTTGGGAGCCACTGTATATATAACGGGAAGATATCCCTCATAAAAGTAGTCTCATTGTTGAAAATGAGTGTGATAAAAATTGCAGTAACAATTGTAATATCATTGTGTTATTCTGATTTTCCTTCAAATTCCTTCAACATTATAGTTAATTTCTATTTTATAAACTCTGTACATAAAATTAGAAATATTATAAGTCAAATATTTTACAGCTCACATTTATGAAAATTTTTTATGATTTTTCCATGTGCAGTTTTGGATTCAAATTTATCTAAAACAATATTGTACTCTCATTTATCTTTATATTCTGCAGATATATTCAACTTCTAATGAAATTTTTAAATTTTACTTTCCTCCCTTTTGATTTTGGCAGTTATAGATAACTGTTTATACTCTGTGCATAGACTGCTATCTTAAGCACAAATTCTGAGTCCTGTCTCTATTTCTTAGAAATAAATAAATAAATAAATAAATGAAATTATAAAACATAGGTTTTTTAGTTTTTACAATGGGTTATAGTAAAAGAAAAAGAAAATAAAGTGGCAAGAAAAAGCATTTCGCTGGAAACTAAAATGCAGGTGCTCAGACAATTAGATGCAAGAGAACATCAGTCTGATAGAGATACTGCATTAAATTTGTCTACTTCAACAATATACATCATTCTAAAAATTAAAGAAAAAAGAATTTATCATCAGCAACTACAACTTCCGCAATATGAATTGACCCATTCCAGAAGAAATACGAATGAAGAAACTGGAAAATGACTTTCAATCTGGATTGACATTGGATCAAGGAGTAATATAAAATTTTAAAGCTTATTTCGATAAATGCAATAATTTTACAAAAAATGATCTAAATTTTGATAGAAGTTCAAAAGCAAGACAATGTGTCATGGGTGCAATATATTACTACTCACAACTAATACTTGCTAAACGAAAAATGCAAAAATGACATTAGATGATTTCTCCATGCACACACAATCTCTCTCTCTCTCTCTCTATATATATATATATAAAATGAGGAAGCACCTTCTTCATCACAAAATCAAACTATGACTTTTTTTAAATTTTCATGAAGGTTTTCATGAATAAAAATTGATTATTAACAGTAAATGAATTTCTATTTAATATAATAAAAATAATTAAACTATAAAATGTAATATAATAATAATAAAAAAAAATCTGATGTAGACATCACATGACTTCCTTGTATGGTCTATTAAATTATAGACATTTTTTGCTGCATTTCGTTTAAACTTATTTCCTCGAATTTCATTAGAGATATATTTCAATTAATTCAGTTCTCTCTTTGTGGCAAAGCAAAAATACATAAAATCTCATCATTAAAAGTTTTAAAATACAGAAAAACATAAAACACTAAATACAGTTATAAATTATATAATTAAAATTAGAGTTTCTATGCAAAAAAAAAGCAATTCAGACAGCAAGCAAGAAGGAAGATTTTTTGCTGCAATAAATTAAAGTTTAATTTTTGTCCCACTCAACAAAAAGGCATTTAAGGTGCAGAATCAGACTTAATTCACTATTCTATTTTACCGAGTTTCAAATGTAAACAAATGGTGTTTCGTTAAACTTAACTCGCCACTTAAAGTTTTAAATTGTTGATAGTTCTACAACAATTGCATGCAGATTGCATAAAAAACCTGAACCAGAACATATAAACTACATAATTCAATCACTTTTAAAGCAAAAAAATGCACAATTCAATAACATATAAGAATAAAAAATAAAAACTGATATGTATACCACGCCTTCCTCGTACAGAATATTAAATTATATGCAATTTTCCTGCATTTCATTTAAACATATTGTATTAACTGTTAACGAATTTTGAATTAAATCTACTTCGTCGATAGCGAATAAACCACAATGGAATAAATGCTCTCTTTAAAGTTCACTATATTTATTTACCATAGGACACTTTGGCGCTAGGTTCAATTAACAGCATTACATCCTATTCATTTTATAACTCAGAGTGCAAAAATATTATATCATCTATAGAATTACCACATATTATTTTTAAATACTATAATAAATCTAAAACGATGTATAAAAGAAATTAAACAATAATAATAATAGTAATAATAATAATTTGAAAGGTTTCAGATTTTAAATTACATCCAAAGGGGCGGTTTTTTTAACATTACCATACTGGCATTTTTTAACATTTCTGATATGTTACCTTTATTTATTAAATATCATGTTCTTTGCATTTAAACCATAAAATTCAGTTCAACAACAATATTGCAAAATAATTTTTAATTGGGCATATGTTTAGAATTTCCGATACACAGTCTCACGCGCTGGAGATAAAAATGTTTTTTCTGTGTACGACGTTGAGATTGCTTGCTTTGAAATCCTTGAGTTTGTTAATCAAAAATTCGTTAAAGTTTTACAAAATATGAAATCGATAATAAAACAAATTCCAAATATCAAATTTGGTCTTCCACATGCCCATATTCATAGGAGGATTACGTCATTCAAAATTTGATGGCTCTAGGTACCGTTGTTTTATCACAATATGAGAAACATACATACATTTATGCAGATTCTTCATTATTTAATTTCTTCAAATATAATACAGAGCTATAGTATTTGGTGGCAACAGTTTGAAATATCATACGCCGTTTCTAGGGTTCCGATGCAAAATGGCAAACCAAAAACAACAGTCTTTCAGGGACAAAGCCCCTTTGGATTAATTAAAAAAAAAAAAAAAAAGTTTTTCGTGGACGATTCAGCACTGCTTACCTAATGCATATGCGCTACTAATTAATTCAGTTCTCACTTCGCGGCAAAGCAAAAATACATAAAAACTCAAAGTACTTTCATTAAAAATTGGAAGATATAGAAAAACATAAAGCACCAAGTACAGTTAAAACAATTTTTACAATTTAAAATACAGTTTCTACACAAAACAAGCTAATAGCTTAAATGATAATTCCAGAATGAATTAAGAAGACTTAATTCACAATCATAAAAGAAGATATTACTTTGTTGTTGCAAAGCTTAGTTTCTCTAGATTGGCAACAAATCCATTATTCAGCTAAGTTTCAAAGGTAAACAAATACGGATGCTATCATAAACAAAAATTAGGCTTAGCGGCACTTAAAAAACTTTTAAATTGTTGATAATTTCACAATTATTGCATGCAGGTTAAGTAAAGACATAAAAAACTTAACTGAAAGATAAGAACAACGTAGTTCAACCATTTTTAAAGCAAGAGATGCACAATTTTACAGACATATAAGAATAAAGAAACTGAGCTCACTAAGTCGAGTAACAAAGTGGATATATATATACATATACTTTTGGTGTGGTCAATTGCAACTAAAATGGGAGGTGCACATCTACATGTTATAGCAGTCATATATACAAAATTTCAACATTCTGAGGCTACTAATTTCTGAGTACGCGAGATACATACGTACATATGAAGAGACACCATGAAAAAAAAATCTCTTCAGAATTAATTTAAAATTAGTTTTATGTTGTTTTGGGGGAATATTCTGTTCTTACGTATGGATGTCATGAAAAAGCATTGTTAAATTGCATTTGATAGTGTACAAAATGGAGATTTTCGTTGAAATATGATACCCGAAATTTTTAGCTATTACAATACTTCCTTTTTACTTCGGACAAGGAAGTAAAAAACTAAGCTCACCGAGCCAGGTAACAGAGAGGGGAGGGGAATATATATATATACATACACAAGATTTTTGCAGACAATTGCAACAAAAAAGGAGGTGCACAACTACATATTAAAGCAGTCTCATATACAAAATTTAAACGTTCTACAACTACTCATTCTTGCGTTATGCGAGATACATACGTACAGATGTCAGGAAAAATTCTCTTTTGAATCCATTTTACAATCTTTCTTGGCAAAAAAGAGTCCTTTAGTCTATCCATATGCACAAATGTTATGCAAAAACATGGTTCAAATGGCTTTGAGAGCAGTTGAAATGGGTATTTTCGTTGAAATAAAATACCCAAAATTTTTTGCAGTTACAATATTTCCTTTACTTCATACAAGGAAGTAAAAAAACATAAATTTTCTGTTCTGTTTCACTTATTCCCATTATATATATATATATATATATATATATATATATAAGAATATATCATTTAATGCTGTTTTTATAAAGCTGGAACTTATTGAAATGTATTTCCTGCTTTCAGCAGAGTCTTACTATGTACATATATGTACGTGTGTGTGTGTATAGTTAAATTGTCATTTTATAAACAGAATATACTTATGACATGAGAATAAATTAGATATAAAAAAAGTTAAAAGAAACAAATTCTATCCTAACCATTATTTCATACTCCTGTGATATTTTGTAAAGTTTTTCTTCTTTTTCTGAATGAAGTTTAGACAAATATTCTTTTTCAGACCTGAAAAATAAATTATCAATATAGTTGAATAACTGTGGATGCAAATCAGATAGTCTCCTCACAAACTGTGGTAAATTTCTCTTAATAAATTGAAATTTAATATGTTTAGGTATATTTAACATTCCAAATAATATATGTCTGAAAATGTTCCAATATGCTTTTCAAAACTTATCAAAAAGTTAAGAAATGATACATTTAATTTCAATAAATAGATTTGTTATTTAAACTAACTTTAACTATTCTAATGTGGTATATGGTCACCAATTACTTTTATCACTTCATCAATCGCAAAGTAATATCAAATTGGCAATAAATTAGAATTATTTCATATAACAGGATTTTATACTTTAGATAATTGTACTGAAAGAAATTAAGCCAAGACGTGAAAATTATTCATTTAAAAGCATACAGAAATTTTATTCAACATATAGTATTTCATTAATAAAGCTTTGAAAATTGCTATCGCAAATGCTTGTTTTCCTTCAGCTATCATAACTGTGACTTAAAACTGACTCTAAGCTTTGATTTCAAAATGCAGCATAATCGAATTATATGCGCATTATTTTGCATCTTTGTGAACATTGTAAAAAATATGCCTACAAACTTAAGGTGCATTAAATGTTTCAATAGTTAGATCGCTGTTGTGGATTCTGATAAACATTTGGATTTTTAGCAGATATTCACCTCCAAATGCTCACCATCTCCGAATGCATATACTGAAACATTTAAAGAAACTGCAAGACATATTTTCCGTTATTTTACAAATACATATTTAATATACATAAATTTATTTTTCTATTATTTCTGTGAAAGCTGATATTACTTATACTGACAATTGATGTAATAAAGAGCAAAAAGTGAAAAAATAGGTTTACTGATTTTGCAAAAGTTCTTTTTTAGTATCTTCCAGGGCTGAATTAAGATATTTTTTCTCTTCTGTTAACATATTGATAGTTTCTTTCAATTGTTCAATTTCACTCTAATAAAATAAATTTTTATATCACTTAACATTTCAACAATACAACATAATAAATTCGCACAATGAAATTTCTGTCACAACATATAAAAATTCACATTAATGCAAACTCCTAATGCACTAAAGAACAGATCTAATCCAACTAATATCACTTAATATACATGGATTTCTTTTTCAAATTTTGCTGTCAGTACGAAAACATACAATTATATAAAGACATAGTTTAAAAGTACTTTTAGTTAAAAAAAAGGACACAACTCTATATGCTTTCAACTAGAGTTATAAAACTCGATCAAGTGAACACTAATTAAAAAATGGTTGCTGATATGACAATATATACAGTCAAAAACTTTGAACAGTTGTACCTTGACAGCTAAAAAAGTTTCATAAAATACATTTATCTTTGTTAATCAGTTTTATCAAAAATACAGTCTGTATAACAAATGGTGTACACAATATTTGGCTTTTCGTAGCATTATCATAATCTAAAATATGACATCAGGTGTCATAATATCTATCTTTTTAACTGCAGCCATTAACACAACAATTTACACATTTCAATAAAAGTGAATTAGACATTTTTAACATCGATTTTAAATCAATTTTGAAGTTCTAAAGGGGAGACTGAGCTTCTTAAACATGAAATAAAAGAAAAAATTTAAAACAATTAACCCTTTAACAATTAAAATGTTTCCAGAGTTTCCTTTAAATATGCTTTAAACATGTTAACACGAATTTAAAATCTCTCAAAAAGTGTTTAAGAAGTGTATACGCAAAGCCAAAAATGCTTAAGACATATTCAGATGACACGTTTTGATCTTTTCCCTACGTTTCTGGTGGTAGCTGTCAGTTGACACAAAGCTCTTAATAAGGTGTGAAGTCTGGTTGAAAAGAGCACTTTACTAAAGAGTCCTGCAAGTATCATTGCCAGACAACAAATGTGTACTATCTTTCTGGAAACTGTAAGCTTGTGAATTTAGATAAATTGATTTACAACAGTTTGCCTTGTGGTGCTTTATACTAATGAAAGCCAAATAGAATCACTAGTTGTTATAGTACAAAAATGTTGCAACCAGCTTACAAGTTTGCCCTCGTATTTCAAGTGCACGTTATTCTAATGGTATATCCTTTGTTGCATTTTGAAATGTTAAAACTGCTGTTTCAGCATGCCTGAGTTTTACATTTCTATATGAGACTCTGTGTTTGCTATAAATGTGAACTTACATATAAAGTTTTTGTTTTAAGAATTCTATTATTAACCCGAGAGCACGCACACTCTTTTCAGTTACACGAGTGCACGCCCTGGATCCAAAAGACCCCGCTCGTGTTTTTTGAAGAAAAAATTGTTACATTTATGCCAAAATATTATGATCAAACTTTAAAAATATGCAAATTATGAAAATTAAAATTTTAATTTCTATATTTTTTATGAAATAAAACTATTTAAAGGAATAGAAAAACGTATTATATTAATAAAGAATTTATTAGGAATTCATTATATTATTATTCAGGTTTATTAGGAATATACTGCCTGAAAAAACATCTTCCTTGGAAAGCTTCAAGTTTTTCATCAATTGTTATGAGCTGACCGACAGTGTAATATTTCTGGCAGCTATTCACAAACTATTCAAAAAACTCTCTTATAGGTGCAAGTTTATCTGATTCTTTCTTGTTCCTATGACATCAAAACACAAACATCTTAATATGTTTGATCCTGCACATTTATATGAGATGACTAATGTCACAAAAATATAAAAAGACATTTAAAAGCAAGAATTTCAATTAAAGTTGTGTGACGAGCATCTCTCTCTCTTTGAAAGCTGTCAGAAATAGATGCAATATAAATATTTATATGCCTGACGACTTTCAGCAACATTTGTTCGCTTAGTAAAAATTCCCAAGATTAGTAATAATATTATGAGTAGGAGTTCTAACATCAGCTTTAGGCTTTTCTTTTGAAATTTTTCTTTTTTTTTGGGGGGGGGCTTTTCCAATCAAGCAATAAATGTCACTCTCATTTTCATTTTCAGACTGCATCTTGATTTCTGAATCAGTATCATGAAATTCCTTATAACTAAAAAATTCCTTATAACTTTCACTATCAGTTTCTTCAATGAAGTCTTCAACAGTTCATACATCTAATAACTTTTGCAAACTTAACATTTCTTTCTTATAGGATAAATTACGTGATATATTTGAAACTTTCTGTGTTACCACAAATGAACTACGTTACAGAATGTAAATAGGCACGCTGGATCTGAAAGACCCTATACTGTCAAAACCAAACTTCGAATCAAATTTTCGGCAAAAAACTTCTGAAACATAAAGACGATAACCTTGGAGGAGACTACATTGAACCACAACCACCTGGGAAAAATAGAGACATTTTTAGAAACATTTCTTTAATCATGCAGGTCCATTGGAACCATTGCGCACGCTCGCGGGTTAAGATTTCAAATACAGTACAAAGTCCATAATCCGGACTCGTCGGGACTTTGGTGATTCTGGATTATAGATCATCAATTTAAATCTGGTAAGATGGCATGCAGAAATTATACAATTAAAAATATGAAACCGTAATTTATGAAATAAAGAGCAATTATGATTTGAAGGGTATCAAAGTTTACAAAAAAAAAAAAAAGCTTAATATTTATTTGTTTACTTTATTAAACATTTCTTTCAATGTAAGTTGTTTAAGTTGCTTCTTGTGCTAATACTTACTTTTTTTAATTCTATAAACAGACATAATTTTTTGTTCAGTTACAAAGTTCCACTGTTTAAGTCCTGTAATTGCTGTGCCGAGAATACCGACTAACTTGTCAATCGAAATTCTTTCATTTTCAGTAACCTCTGTGTCACTTTCTTCACTATCGGAAGCGGTATTTTCTAGAAACCATACTACAGATTTCACCATCCATTAATTGACTGATGACTGGGGCATTGTTGTAGCAATGAAAAACTTCTGTTATATCATCTTTATTTATTACCGCTTCTCCACATTTCTTTACAAAATCCAATAACTGGATAATAATAATAATAATCCTCACCATAAATAATAATAATCCTCACCATAAAATATGGTAGCTGGCCATAAATTATGCCAAGGATTTTTTAACATATCTTGGAGACACATCCTCCAACGATCTTGCTCCACACAACAGATTTTATGCTAAAAAATTTCAAAAAGTCTTGAATAGTCTTGCTATTGTTCATGAAATTTAACATAAGATTTTTAAAATGCTAATTTATATTTGCATTTCAGCACGTGCACTATTCCGATATTCATAGGCTGAATGATAGACATACAATTTGGAGGGAAGAATAATATGGATACATTATCTTTGACTAAAACTTTAAGTGAAGAATGCGGCGAACAGTTGTCAACAATCAGGACTATTTTTAAGTCATCAGGTAAACAAACCGAATTCAAATGTCGTCGAGCCTCGCGTATAAAATGATTTTCAAAGCAATCATTAATCAATGCTTGTGTCATCCATGCTCGTTTATTTGTACGATATATAACAGGGAAAATCTTTACTCCTTTAAATTACTCCTTAAATGTTTCTCTTTGTGCATGTTTTCCAATTACGAAAAGTTTGCACTTGTGCGTTCCTGCAGCATTTGCGCATGCTAAAACTGTTATTCTCGCTTTGAAATCTTTGACACCAGTTGGAGCCTTTTCTGTAGAGGTTAACAAGGTATTTCACGGTACATATTGCCAGAAAAGTCCAGTTTCATCAGCATTGTAAATTTGTTCTGGAGATAATTGTTCACTAGTAATGAGTTCAATGAATTCATCTGCAAATTGTTAAGCAGCTTCATTATCAGCTAAAGCTTTTTCACCGGAAATTTTTAATTGTCATATATCATGGCGATTTTTAAATTTGGTTAACCAACCTGTAAAATATGTGCACTCAGTGTTTAAGTTTATTTCTTCATGAAATATTTTGGCTTGAGCCATTAGCATTGGATTCATCAATGGCACGCCCTCGCTGCAACACTGTCTGACCCATCCTTTTTCTGTTATTCATTGCAAGTGGGGTTTCGGAATCCACAAAAAATTCAAAACGTTCCTTTTTCTTTTTGCTCATGTTATACACAGTTGACTTTCCAATGTCGTACTCCTCGCATAATTTTGAGACGGATATGCCTTTATCCATTTTTTGCAGCAATTCCACTTTTTGTTTGATGGACATCGAAACATGTTTCTCTTTGTAGATCCTTTGGCAGCTCCAGGATTAAAAACTCTTTTTGACATAATCGAAAGTTCAAGCTTAATTTTTATAAAATTGCTCTAACAGTCTGCAAAAAATAATAAGCCAGATCCAATTAGAAGACTAAGGAACAGCGCAATCTGCAACATTAACTGAAATACGTTAGAATCAGTAAAGATAATTTTAGCCTAGCTTATACTGTAGTACAGCCTAGCTTATACCATCTGTTATACATTAAACGCATTATGCGCATGAATAAAGCATAAAAAAAATAAAGTTTGTGGCTTTGAGGTCCGTATTATAGATCATTCCGGATAATGGCCGTCCGGATTACGAACTTTGTACTGTATAACACAGTTTAAAAATTTTGGGAAAAATACATGCTTCTTGAAACTTTTTTCGGAAAGAAATCAATTGGTATAAAATCTCTTAAAAATGGAGTGTAAGTAAAGAAAAACAGTGTGTGTGTGGAAGGGTTAGATATTCTGCCCACAAAAAATAACAGTTAAAGACTTAAATTAATTACATTAAAAGAGTTTCATCAAAAAATAAATTAATATATCTCCAAATGTTAATGCTGATAACAGTAACATAAAAGAAAGCTCCTTTAAGCTCCGAACTTAATTAATCCATTTGTACGTAATAATTGTGACTTCGTGATTACTTTTGCAAAGATTTTTTATACACATACTAGCACTACAAAAGGCAGTCAGTGAAGTAGTAGTAAATTGTTCAGTACTGATGATTTGAAGTGGGTTTAAATCCTGGCAAATGGATTGCCCACGTTTA